TTCATAAAATAGTAGTTCAATAAAATTTTGAAAGAGAGTCAAACAAAGGACATGATATGGCCTTTCACCTGTGACTCGTCTCGAAAGGGTTAATTGAAGGATAGACAAACATTAATACATATATCTTGTTGCACAAACCTCAAATGCTGCTGTTCTGAAACCTTTTAGTTTTTATACAGCATGATAACATAATATTTTCTATAGATTGTATGTTGACCTGGTGGTTAGGGTCACAGGATGGAAACTTTTCACCATATATACTTGTCCTTTCAGGCATGTGTATTGATCTGGTGGTTATAGTTATGGGATCAAAACTTGTCACCATATATATTTGTCCTTTCAAGCATGGTAGCATTATAATGTGACTGTGAATCCCACTTTTCATTGGTAACGAGTAGCCCATGAGCTGGCAAAGGGTGATGTTGACTAGCTGCCTTCTTTTTAGTCTATAATTTCAATATTAAGGACTGCTAGTACAGGTAGCCATCATATAACTTTGCACAAAAATCAACAAACAAACAAGATTTTGTGTTGTTTCATACCCTCAGATTTCCTCATGTATCGTGAGTTATTAACCATCTTCCTACAGGTAAGTAAATCAGTGTAGTCTGTTAAATAAAGTTTGATATTTGTTTAGGAGGTTTAGAGGTTACACATATGAAATTTTAAAATTTTCAGATGAATAAAAGTATTTTTTAATCTTAACATGAAAAATCACTTTGCACTTGGACTTTCCAACTTTCTGACTCCATATATTAATGAATAAGTCTTTAATAAAAATACTTAATTAAAAAAACCTGATTTTTTGTATGCAAAAGACTTGTAATGCTTACTGAAAACTTGCCAAATTTCATGATTACTTGGTGTTTACAAGGTTAATGCAATCGACCAACCCTTGATTTTAGACCTTTAGTGATAAACCTGCAGATCTTTTTCTAATGATACTAATAAAAAAAAGGTTTACATTTGTAGCTGCATCTCCTTGAGCTTTATAAGCTATATATAAATTTCTGACCTAGTCTTTTAGAAAAAAAAAAATTGTAAACTATTCTGTTGAGAGTTAAGTGTTTCTACATAAAAGTACAAATTCTTGCTACAGTTTATTTAGTTATTTTATTGCTTACTGTAGGTTGGCGACCTCGAAGAACAATCATTTTCTGTAGTTGGGGAGCAGAAGAATTCAATATGATTGGTTCAACAGAATGGATTGAGGTGGGTTACACATTTTCTAATTAACATTTGTTCTCTGTATTATAGTGTTGTTAGTAATACTTCTTCTGTTGATAGCAGTAATTGTTGCACTTTGTTAGATATATCAGTACCTACTTAATGAAACATCCTTTGTAATTAGTAAAGACCTGCTGTAGTTAATTAATAAGGCAGAATAATATTGCATTGTTAATTGTAGTTTGAAGCTATAAAACTGTATAGAATGAGGTTGTGTTGGTAATTGTAGCTTGATGCTATAAAATAGTAAAGAATAAGACTATATTGATATTTGTAACTTGAGGCTATAAAAAATTGGGGAATGAGACTGCATTGATAATTGTGTGGTATGCAGACATACCATGTTCTCCTACAATCTATAGCAATATAATTGTTTTTCTAAATTATGGATTATTGAGTTTCCACACTCGTAGCAGCAACACATGGCTCAGGATGGCTCAACATTATTTTGTTCAAGTCACTTCAGCCCTTTGTTCTTTTATTAGATAACATTCCCTGCATTTCATACTGTATTTTGAGCATGGGTTAAACTATTTAAAACTGTTATATCCTTTGCTGGTCAAACTGTGGCATCAACTAAAACTAATAGCTGGCCAACTGTGATGTTTACAATCCAGGTGCACTTTCTTTGTGCAGTTCTACTTGGCATTTATTGTGACTAGTTCAGTAGATATTCATCTTCAAGATATGGAAATCTGGCAAGTCATTCATTGATCCAGTAGAAGCAATTATCCATTTGTCTTTGTAGGTAGACACTGTTTTTTGGTCTAAATAAGAATTATTTTCACTGCCATTTAAATGTGTCCAATCTCTTTATCCCTTTCGCAACGGGCTTGGTATAAAATACACTAGTTCATATACACATTTGCACATGTTAGGTATTGATACTGTAACTTTTAATTGTGTATGTGTATCTTCACAAAATTTGGTAGACTTTTAGTAATGCTTCCAAGTCTTTTGTACACAAGAAATCGTATTTTTTAATGATGTATTTTTATTAAAGATGTGTTTGTGAAAATATTGAGTTTGTTTTGTTACTGGTCCAAGTGAGAATGATTTTCATGTCATGATTAAGAAAACTATTCTTTGTCCCCAAAATCTCAAATCTTATTTATGTAATCTCTAAAACTTCCTAAATACATTTCAAATACTTGTTTTCAGTAAAACTTTATATTTTGTCTGTTATTTTCTCTACCCTAACTATATGGGGTCTGTCAATTTGACCGACCTAGTAACCACCATATAAAATTAGGAAATAAATATATATTATGCAGTCAGATTTCAATTATTATACGTTATATATGTATATAGATTATTGCTATTTACAAACAAGTTCTTAAACTTGTTTTTCGTGATCTTTGTACTTGGTTGCTGCTTCTCAAAGCTTGCTAAGCCTCTAGAAATTTTGCACGTGGAGGATGTGAAACAAAATAATGTTTTTTAAGTTTTATATATACATTTAAATAACTACATCGATATCATAGAATTCCACTATCATTTATCAAGCTTAGTAACTAAGCTGTATTTTGGCCAAAAAGAAAAAAAAAAAAAAATGAAATTTCGAGCGGACTAAAGACACAACCGACCTTCTTGAAATTTTGTTTCAAAAGAATGAGATGGCATCATAACACATGAAAATGGCTGAGAAAGCCACAAAGAGTACATTCTGAGCTTTCAATTGGTTATTAACGTGTCATATATACAAGTAATTGTATATAAGGGACCGTTTCCAAAAATGGAAAGAGGTGAGTGGGGCTACTTTGTTTAATTCAGTACATGACCAATATCTCAGTAAATAGAAAAGATAGGAGGTTCTTATTTTATATTGTCACTTGTTAGTAACAGTAATTTGAATTCCTAATTTGTGTGAAACTATAGATTTTGTATTTTGACATCACAAACATCTAATTTGAACTAGTGCTGCATTCAACATACCACGTGACACATGAAAATTGATGTTTAAGTGTTTTTTAATATTTACTTTTTAAATTAAGAAATTGAATTATAGTCTGTAGTTTGATACCAAAGTTACTGACATAAATTCATAAAATAGTGGTTTAATAAAAGTTTGAATGCAAGTCAACAAACATGATGACGTAGCGTTTCACCCATGACCTGTAGCGATAGGATTATTTCTCACACTACTTAAAATTCAGTCGAATTATCAACTACAAAACATTCCTCTTCTTCTTTGGTTGAATCTGCTATTATCTGCAGGTTTGCCTGTCTGATACTTGTCCGGAAATCAATTTTGCTTGAAGATACCACAATTGTAGCTTGAGGCCATAAAAAATTAAGGAAAAATAAGAGAATAATTAAAATAATGAAAAAATTACTAAGATGAGAAGAAAATTTACTAAATATTCAATAACTCTAAGGATAGACTGTTTATAAAATAGAAATGTCAAGTTTCAGATTTTCTGAAGTTAAAAAAAATACAGAATTATTTACATAATGAAGAGAAAATATCAGTTATTTCCAGTAATTCTTGCTCTTTATCAACACTAATTTAATTATAAATATTTAAAAAACAGTACATTAAATATAGAAGTAGAGGTAATTAAGCAATACAAAGACTGGCGGATTTGTTCATTAACAAATTATTTCCTGTGTGTATCCTGTATCATACTGCACTGTTTTACTGATAATAGTAGCTTGGAAAATAATTCAAGTAAATGCTTCTTATGTCATGTTATGTATTGTTTTAAACAATCTTTCCTACTTCTGGCTATCATGTTATACAATTTCCTATTTTACTGATTTGGTAGTAGTTTGAGCAATAATTTAACTAGGTGTTCTCATGCACATAGTACAGTACCTTGTTTGTTTACATTGTACATTGTACTTTACATTGTTTATTTACACTGTGCATTGTTTATTTATCCATCACATAGTTTGGTTATGCTATACATTGTGTATTTATACTGTAAATTCATTGACTATGCTATATCTTGTTTCGTTATATTTGACTATAATGTACATTTTTGGATATGTTGTACATTATTTCACTATAATGTATATTTTTGGATATGCTGTACGTTGTTTGATTATATCGTACATTATTTGGTTATAGGAAAATTTGAAAATTCTTCACAGTAGAGCAGTTGCTTATATTAATGCTGGAATTGTTGTCACAGGTAAGTTTTAAGTAATTTTAGTTGTTTTTTTAAAAAACTCCTCAAAAACTTGAATAATTTTCATGCATTGTATTCATTTTATGTTTTAAATTTCAAATTTTACACTTGCACATTTTTGAAACAATGAATGAAAAAGTTTTCCTTATGGTGTTGAATAAGATAACATTGCAGTTATGTGTCCATATATTCAGACTTCATTGAGGAACAACCATGTCCACCCCCCCCCCCATTTTCTGTTTGCATCATTTTACACTGGTTAATGTTTTAAATCTGATTTTGACAGATATGTGATTGAATAGGATTGCTATGATTTCATTTTATTTCTCATAAAAACAACTGGTGAGCTGTAGGAAGTACTAGTGAACTTTTTCATTGTAAGTCTTCATTAAATTCAAATTTTTATTAACTTATTAACCTTTTAAGTACAGGCCTGGATTTTTTGTGCATGTTACAATGTTTTTGAGAGTTATATTTAAAATTTTGATAAATAACTATTGTCAAGGTATGACAATAAAGTTAGCATTAAGAGTAATTTATAATTCAAGTTTTTATATTATTCATACTTTAATTTCTTACTTTGAAAGAAGATATTTAAAGAAATTCTCAATTTTCTCTTATTACATGACATATACTACTCTCAGTTCTTCCCCTTTTAGCTTGTATAACTTCAACAGTATCGAATTTCCACTGTTTAAGTAACTTAAACATAATCTATATAGTTAATTTTTAATATGTTATTTTCCTTTCCTATACCATTTATTATTCATCTCAAAACAAGTAAACGGCACCTTCAGGGTGTATACCAGCATGTTTGGCAGAGATGCTTAAGCCCTCGGCAAAATTATCTTGCACTCATGCAAGATCGTGAACCTTGAGAACTGAGGCAAAGTTTGAGATTTATTTTTCAAATGTTTAAACCTTTCAATTATGTACTTTTAATACATAAATTATACATAATTAACTAAGATATAAAAGTAAAACCTAAATACAATGTAACTGTCTCTTTAACTATAACATATTTGGGTAAGAAACAACTGTAAGTGCTATCATGGGTAAAGCAGCCAACAATACTACTAGCAGTTACATCTGTACAATGATGACAACTAGGTGTCTATTTCAAAATAACTATTTGGATTATAGTGTAAAATGAGCTCCTTCTAATGGTTATAAACATGTGTGTCAGATAAGTACATGTGGCGTGTAAATCTCAAGCCTATGTAAAGAAGGTAGGCGTGGTACCTGTCAAGGGTTGACAAAACTTATTACTTGTTTCTACTCCATTCAGCGAAAGAACTTTGAAACTTATGTGTCAGTAAGGCAAGTAGAGATACTTATTGTCTAGACATAAATCTGTAAGACTTGCATTATCTGAGTCAAGAGAGAAATTGTGAAAGTTGATATTTTTCATAGCTTGTGGGTCATGTGACAACATGAAACTGAAGCTTAAGTATTTTTTTAAAGGTTTCTTTTGAAGTAAAGGAATTAAAACATAGATAACAATAAACTTAGAATCATAACATACATTATAATGTTAATTTCATGGACATACATTGATAGTGAAGTTGTTTAGTTAAATTTTGAATGTAACTCTGTGAATTGCACAGAAGGATGTTTAGATTGGTACCAATGTTTAAAGGGTTAACTCCATTCAAACCTGTGTTGAGCACAAACCTGCATTTCAGATTTCAAGATTGAAAAATAATAATTTAATTATTTCAACAATTATTACTTAAAAATATTTTATAATTGATATTTTGTCATTTTGTAACATTTAGCTAATGTAATTTGTAAAAAAGAAAGAAAGTTCAAATGTTGAAATTTAAGTTTCTGTACTGATCTGAGGAATATTCACTGTAAAAAACATGTTTACCAATTTTTTAGAATGTTTACTTCCCATTCCAAAAGCATATTTCTTATTTGTTAAGAAACTATCATCCTTTGAGTATACAACTAACCAAGTCTTGTTTCTTGTGAGTTTTCCTTTTTTGTCTAACAGTTTAATATTATGGGCCCTGGAGTCTATAAAAGGGTGGGAACAACTACTAATGAAGAACAGCTTTGAAAGTAGCTACAGCCAAAATTTAAACACTTAGATGGAGCATATTACACACTATTTGTGTCAGTATAAAGTGAGTAAAGTGGGTGAGAAGTAATTTATGGTTTCATAAGAGAGTGATTAAATGTAGCTCTTGCAGAGAAAAACAATGGAATTTCGTGTGAAATTTAGAAGACTAAGGAATGAACCACAAACTTAGGAATTTTTGATAGTTTATACATAACTGATAACCAACTTTCTTAGAACAGTAGTAATTGATACCAAACATTTTTAGTAGTAACTGATAAATAGCTTTTATAGTAGAGTAGTAACTGATATCCAGCTTTCCTAGTACAGTTGTAACTCATAATCTGGCTTGTTCACTTATAAGTAATTAATTATATTGATTTATTTGCCCAGCTGTAGTAACTGATACCCAGTTTTCCTAGAAGAGAAGTAACTAATATGAAACTTTTCTAGTAAATTTATAACTGATAAACAATTTGCCTAGTGGAGTAGTAACTGATACTCAGCTTGCCTAGTAAAGTAGTAACTGATACCTACCTATTTTAGCAGTTACTGATACCTAGCTTTCCTATTATGGTAGTAACTAATAAATAGTTTTCCTAGTATTGTAGTAACTCATATCCAGCTTTCTTAGTAGAGTAGTAACTGGTACCTTGCTTTCCTAATATAGTAGTAACCAATATCCAGCTTTCTTAGTAGAGTAGTATATGACATCCAGCTTTATTAATAGTAACTGGTACATTGCTAGCCTAATATAGTAGTAACTGATATCCAGCTTTCCTAGTATAATAGTAAGTAACATCCAGCTTTATCAATAGTAACTGGTACATTGCTAGCCTAATATAGTAGTAACCGATATCCAGCTTTCCTAGTATAGTAGTAAGTAACATCCAGCTTTATCAATAGTAACTGGTACTTTGCTTTCCTAATATAGTAGTAACCAATATCCAGCTTTCCTAGTAGAGTAGTAAGTGACATCCAGCTTTATTAATAGTAACTGGTAAATAGCATTCCTAATATAGTAACTTGTATCCAGTTTTCCTCGTGGAGTAGTAACTCATATCCAGCTTTCCTAGTATTGGAGTAACTGATAAACAACTTTCTTAGTAGGGTAGTAACTGATAAACAACTTTCTTAGTAGGGTAGTAACTGATAAACAACTTTCTTAGTAGGGTAGTAACTGATAAACAGCTTTCCTAGTAGAGTAGTAACTGGTACTCAACTTTTTTAATAATCGCTACAACTGGTACCAAGATTTTTTAATATAGTTTCAGTTAATATCTAGGTTATCTTTCTTCAATGGAGTAATTAATGTTACAACTTCACTATGGATACATTGCTACAGAAATTCATTCAGTTAAGTTTAGGCCTACCTATTTATGTTACAGAAGCAACTGAGTGTTCTGCTAATGAAGAACTAGCTTTATTATCTATTTCATTGGTTTAGTTGGAACAGTACTATAATTAGCAAACAGAAAGACTGTATCAAAGTGTCAACTAATCTGTTGCCATATTGTGTCATGTACTAAGAGTTGGGAGGCATTGCAGATTTTTTAACATATTTGTGTATTTGTGATTTTTTAACCCTATCTCGATGGGCATCCTTTACTGCGCATGTCACAAGGTTTTAGTGACTTACGTTCAAAATTTTATTAATCTACTTCTTTTATGTTACTCCAATTAGTATAGCATAAAATCAAAGCTAATAATCCATATTTTTATAGTATACAAGTCTTTAGTTCTTAATTATACAGCAATATTTAAAAAAATCCTGAATGTCCCCTATTTCTTCAGTATTTTATCCACCACTTATCCAATAAGTACGAAATTAAACGTAAATTACTCACTATAAAATCGTCATTGCTCAGACAAACCATAATTTTTATACCCTTCAATTCTTTTTGGTTACAGAGCTATCAAATAGAAAATCAGACCCCTCTTGCCACATCCTCTGTTTCAGGATTTGTTAATAGATCTCTCTTATGCTTAATTTTATATTATCTGTAACCAATAGAAAGCCAAGGTTTTCATCTATCAAGTGATGTATTGTATAACATTGATTTCTGAACAGAGAATTGTCAATTTTACTGTTTTGTTCCCATGGGAAAGATAATGACTAGCTTGGATGAATATGTAATGGCTCTTGTCGCATAGTTCGAAAGGCAGACAAATTGTGAGTTAGGAAAAATGGTCTACTTTTTTGCATGTTATTAGTCTATGTTTTTTGGTGCATTATTTAACTAAATAAAAATTATTTAGTGCATTACTACCATTAGTATAAAAAATGTAGGGTTAAGTGTCATCAACAATCAACAGCAAGAAAAAGAAGATTCAGGTAAGTACTTTTATTTCTTGTTTTTTATGTTTATTCCTTATTTATTCTTATAAAAGTAACTAAAATGTAAAAATAGGGATTTTTTTTTAGGTTAGTTAAGGTTAGATTAGGTAAAATAAGTAATAATAATAATAATATAATAAAAATGTTTCATGAGGCATGCACATGAGCAGCTCGTGGGTAACGTAATTCGATAGCATAACGTGACCTCCACATTCCCCAAGTGATTTACAACTTATAATGGCACGAAACAGTAGTTAGACATGGTTCAAAGGGCAATAAAACAATAAAGTTTAAGTACAAATAGATGTATACTGTTACAAGTTTAAACCTACTTACAAATATAGTTTCATGTTACAATTTGAAGTCATTCTAGAAAGAAAAAATGGTAATTTAGATTTATTTAGATTTTTGTTTGATCAATGTTGTATAGAGTTAGGGTAGAGAAAATAACATATAAAATATAAAGTTTTAGTGAAAACAAACATTTGAAATGTATTTATGATGTTTTAGAGAATACTCAAATCAGTTCTGAGATTTTTGAGATGAAGAAAAGTATTTTTAATCTTAACATGAAAATCAATTTGCGCACGGATTATTCAAAACAAATACTCGATATATTTACAGAGAAATCTGAAGTAAAAATAATTCATTAAAGAAACTGAATTTTTGCATACAAAATACTTGTAATATGTGCTAAAAGTCTGTCAAAGTTTGTGAAGATACACACTCTGTATTAAAAGTTACAGTATTAAAACTATATACAAGTAAAATTGGTCTCTGGGACCAACCTCATATTGAAAGAGTTAACTTGCTTTCTTTTTAAATGATTTTTCATACATGTATTGTTTATTAAAGTTCTGTATGTTGACAGGTAATTCCTCCATCTCAGTGATGGCATCTCCTCTTCTCTACCATGCTATTTATAATTCTACCAAAGAGGTAACTGCAAATACTATTTTTATGAACAGTGAGTTGTTAATTGTTTCTTTAAAAGCCATTAAATTCTGAGTAATATTTCTTCTTTGTTTTTTAAAGAAATAAAAATAATATCAGTTTGACTTTTTTAGTGAAAGTGACTTTGGATGGGAATTATGAAAAACCTTGATGTCAGTAATTTTTTAACATTCAATTTTTATGTGTAATTTTAAGGAAAAACAGCTACTGTAACAAAACAAATCATTTCATTGTAGCATTATATAGAATAACTTTTTGTGAAATTTTAAAAGCATGAGTTTTTTGTTTGATTTGTTCAATAACTGAAAAGGTACCAAATCCAAATGAAGAAGAAAAACAGATAGGAATTGAAACAGTTTATGAGAACTGGAAAGAGACTTTTCCAGTATCAAGAAACATTTCCTTTCCATTGTATCATCTTCTATTTATACAAGAGCAACATAGTGAATTAGGACTTTTAGGGAACTACATATCTTCAGCAAAGTTAACAGTTCGTCCCAGGTAAGAAATTAGTAAGTTGAAGAATGTTAACTTTTGTGATCAAGAATCTGTATACACAGCAGTAAAACTGAAGGGTTCTACCTACATGTTGTGCATTAGTATTGCTCTCCTTCTGCTTTAACCAAGTCATATTCTATAAAAGAAAGCTACAGATTGTTACTTATGCCTGCCTTTCAATTTTGAAAGTAAAAGTGTGATATAATGGTAACTGTGGCTTTTATTTTGTAATAATGCTGGCTTTTGTTTGCAGTTGCAGTGTGGTCTGTTTTCATGTATAATATCTTGCAGGCTTCTCAGGCATTCTGTAATTCCTGTGAAAAAAGTTAATATCCGTTATTTCCTGTATTTAGCATAAAAGCTCTTAAGCTCCTATATTTTTGTGGTAAATAACCCAACATATTTGATGTGAACCACATTTTGTCAAGTGAAAATGCTGCACATTATCTTACTTTTTTTCTATATCTTGAATAATGTTGTAATTTAAGTAAATATTATATGCACTTGTATACATCTTTTTAACTTTATAAACAAATAGATGGATTAGTTTGTTTCAGCAAGTTTTACAGTTCCTACAGTGCTCTGAAACCTGAACAATCTCTAAAGTTTCCAAGATAATCATCTTTCTTTCTGACTGGTGCCATACACTTCAACATGAGTTGAAGAGATTGTGAAAAGAGTGAGTATATCGTAAATGGTATCGGCTTTTCTATCAGGAAGTTTCTCCATAATGGTGGAAACTGTTAGGATGGGGATCCTATTGATAATATGCTTGGTTAGAGATGCTTGTTAATAAAACAAGCAGCTTGTTTCTGGCCAGTGTATTTCATGGTCCCTGCAACATGCCAAACAGTGGCCGTAGCTATACATTATTTCTGCACCAACAGTATTGACATAGACTGGACATTCAAACAACTTGCACTTTGTTCCATAAATACAAAGTGGGAAAATGTTTATGAAAAATAATGCATGTCTAGTGAATTTGAAAATATATTATTGTATATATCTTATTTCCCTGCATGCAGTTTGTATTGTAAGGTGTGTCCTAGAAGTGTACATTTCATTTGCTTTTTAGTGGGTTTGGATTATCTAAGCTTGTACATTTGTCAGCTATTATAGTAATTGTGCACGTGGAATCATATGTCTAATCATGCTTGTGTCATGTATTAATGGTTGAATAGGTATTACTGTATTATTTTTGTAGTTATTAAACATACTTTGTCAAGCTATTTTACTGTATATAGTTTGTAGTGTAAGTACTGGCTCAAGCCAGAGATTTATTAAATTACATTAATACTTACATACTGGTATTATGTAGCTTGAGCAATGGTCATGAAGGGACAAGTAGGTATATCATTTTGTGAGATTGCCTGACGGCACACTGCTGAGAAGCTGTTGTACTATGAGCTAGCCCAAGGAAAATGTACATATGGTGGTTAAAGTAAATGGTGTAAATACTATTTTAAGACCAATTTTAAGAAATTTGTGATAGCTGCTGCAAGCAGGGAACAAAAGGCACAGGACAGTACATACTGGTGGTCATTAACTTATGTATCTACTGCTACATTTGTATCAAGGCAAATTCAAGAGTCTAAAGACAAAAGAGCCTTGAGGAAACTCTACAATAACAAGTCTCAACCTTCTGCTGACTTACAATGCCAGTGTGGAAGAAAATTCAGAAGAATAATATGACTGTATAACCACCTTCATGTTTATAGTTACCAAAAAGGTGCAACATAAGGGAAATGGAAATATTTGTCAGTCCTACTTGATTACAATGGACAACAACATAGTATACATATGAACTCAATGTAGGATACTGAAAATTTGTATATAGTTTGTAGTTTAAGTATTGGTTCAAGCCAAAGATGTATTACTCAATTAATGCTTACATACTGGCACTATGCATTTGTAAAGGTAGCAGGTTGTACTCAGCAAAGTATACGTATGTACTTGACATATTAATAACCTGTTTATAGTTTAAATACTCGCTTAAGTCAGAGATGCGTTACATTAATGACTACATAACAGTATTATGCAGTTATTTGATGGTAGGTTGTTGTCTGCGAAGTATACATATTTACTTGATATAGGATACTTAAAACCTGTATATAGTTTAAGTGCTGGCTCAAGCTAGAGATGTATTACATTAATGATTACATAACAGTATTGTGTAATTATTTGGTAGCAGGTTGTGTGAAGTAGGCATATATATTGAATGTAGGATACTAAAAAACTATTTCATGCTGAGAACTTTTAACAGCTTCAAATAACATATATTTCAGCTTATGATTACAATACAGTTCAAATTATGCAAGAGTTAACTTTTTGATACATATTACAGTTTATTTGCATATCAAAGCGATGAATGTCAATGAACTATTTCTCTCTTTTTTCCTTTTAAGGAACTGGCACAAAACAGGGAGCTATATGGAAAGTGATCTGGAATAAATTTAGTATGTATGATGTACAAACTCAAAAGAGTAACCTCTGATAACAGGAAGGTGAATTTTACTTTCACTTGTCAAGAGAGAGATATGATTTGTATTTTTCAAAGTATAAATGATAATGTGTAACCTTTTCACTTAATATAATCCTTTATTTTGGTCTATAATACCTGTATTTTTGTGAAAAATATTCCTGTATTTGTCCTGTCTATTTTTGGGACCTTCCTGAGAGGCCTGTATCTTGTATAAAGCTCGACAGGATGGTAGAATGTTCTGCTGTTAAAATATATTTTGGTTTTCTAATAAAAGAGGTGATGCTAATGAGCAGTATGAAGTAGGCAGCTTCCTAGATGAAGAAATGGAAAAAACACAACATGCAGTTGGAAATATAGAAAATATGTACCTAAAATGGTATTTGCTCGTACACATTAATTTTAAGTTTTGCATTCCTTAAAGTAAATAAATTGTTTGTGATGTTTATCGAAGTAATATGCTCTACTTCTCCGTATAAAAGAGAAACAATATGAACTTTAATTATAGTATTTTGGCACTTGTGTATAAAGTTAAAATCATAAATAATATTCAACGTTAAACAGGTA